TTTTTTTGATAATTTATTTTTTTTAAATCTATTGTGGATAACTCTTGGTTCTTGTATTGCTGGTGACATTTCACCGGACTTAGGTTGAATCTCAGAATGAAGAAGAAGAAGAGGTGCTAGGGTTTTCTTCTCAATGCCTATGCTTAAATGAGGTAAATGGCCACTAAATGGAGATATACCGGTAAAGGAAGCTATTGGGCATCAAAAAAGTTATTGGGCATATTGGGCCACCACCAGATCTTTTCCCCACATGGGATATACATATAGTTTTAAGAAGTTTCTAGAATAGCCTAATTATGTAATCTTCTTTTCATTTACACACGTGGATAACAAGAGGCGGTTAGTAGATAGTGAAATGGATATATTCCTTTTCTACTTGTAACAAAGACAGATTTCAACAGAATACAATTTCAATTTGGCTTCTACAAAATTTCTCTCTCTAAAATCAACATGGTATCAGAGCCTATGCTCGACCCAGCTATTTTTCACTATCAATCTATTACATATTTCTTCTAGATCTTCTAGAATTCTGTTCCGTTACTCGAAGTTCTCTGAATTTCATCTTTGAAGTTGTTTTAATGGCAGCAATGGCGACGAAAATTGATCCAGATCATCCCTATTTTCTTCATGCTTCGGATTCTCCTGGAATGTGCTTGATTTCACCTCCTTTTGATGGAACTGGATACAGAGGTTGAAGAAAATAAATTCTGATTGCATTATCAGCCAAAAACAAGCTAGGATTTATTGACGAAAGCTTAGTCAGGCCCAAAGATGACTCACCATATCTGAAGTATTGGATTAGGTATAACGACATGGTGTTTGCTTGGCTTCTGAACTCTCTCACTCCAGAAATTAGGCCAAATGTAATTCACTCCAAATCTGCAAGGATTTTGTGGAAACAACTCGGAGATAGGTATATGCAATCAAACCTAGCACAATCATTTGAATTACAAAAAACAGTTGTTGGAAACAGTACATGGATCCTAAAAAATTGCAACTTATTTCAATAAGATGAAGGCTACCTGGTGTGAAATAGAATTGCTTGATGCTAGGACTATGTGTATCTGTGTTGACTGCAAATATGGGGCTAATGACAAAAATGTTGCACTCGAAGAAAGACAGAAACTAGTTCAGTTTTTAATGGGGTTGAACTAGTCATACACTAGTGTTAGGGGTAATATCATGATGATGCATCCACCACTTAACATTGATAGAGCATATTACCTACTTTTGCAAGAAGAAAGGCAGAGAGGAATACAAAGTATGGGTCAATATTCTAGTGAATCTAGTTCTTTTGCTATTCCAACACAAAGGTCTAACCAGACTCAAGGAAGAACCACAAATTTTACAATGAATACTGATGGTTATAATTTCATAAATAACCAAGAAAATAGGAGGAATATCAATTGCAACTATTGCAAAAACAATGACACACAGTTGACAAATGCTATAACTTTTATGGTTATCCACAAAATTTTAAGCCAAATTTTAAACAAAGAAGATTTCAAAATCCTATTCAAGGGAATGCTGTCACAACAGATGAAGGTTATGGGAAAGTTCAGGCAAATGATACAGAAGCAATAATTGGTATAAAGCAGGAACAATTATCACTGTTAATGGAATTGCTTCAATAAGTTAAAATTGGTCATCAAGCTGCAACAAGTCCTGAAATCAATGTAAATGCTAACTGTGCTGGTACATGCTTGTCTATTCTTCCCTACTCACATAGTAATTCTAAGAGTCATATTTGGATCATTGACTGGTCCTTCAGAACACATGACATTTGACTCTACTATCATAGTTAATATCAAACCATAACTTATTCCTGTTAATGTTAACCTGCCTAATTCACAAAGGGTAAAAGTTACTCTAGCGGTACAAGTAACCATACATCCAAATTTGACCATACACAGAGTGCTTTATGTCCCACACTTTAAATTCAACCTCATTTCAGTTAACAAATTATGCAGCCAATTCAAAATCCTTCTTACCTTTGCTGAAACTTGTTGTTTGATGCAAGGCCTTTCTTTGAGGAGGAATCTGGTTCTTGGTGATGTCAAAGTTGGACTTTATCTTTTCCATTAAATTCATCATTCTGCTGATTCTCTGCATCCACATCAGAATGTTACATTTACACAAAATTCCTCTCAAACTTCTTGTCATTCACATACTATGTCTAATTCTATTAGTTGTGGTAACAATTTGTGGCATGTAAGGCTGGGACATTTACCCATTTCTACCATGAGATACATTTCTATTTTACCACAAAATGCTATTTGTAAAGAAGATATTCCTTATTCCATTTGCCCTATGGCTGGCGACACTAATTACCTTTTTCTGATAGCAACAGTTCTACTTCTCACATTTTTGAACTCATTCATATTGATACCTGGGGTCCTTATAAAGTACCTACCCATAATAGTTTTAAGTACTTCCTTACAATTGTTGATGATTTTAGTAGGGGTACTTGGACCTATTTGTTGAGCACCAAGAGTAATGCTTTCACTGTCCTAAAGTCTTTCATATCTATGGTAGAAAGACAATTTGAAGTCAAGGTCAAGAAAATTCGGTCTGATAATGCCTTTGAATTAGGCAATAGTATTGCAGCCATAGCCTATTTCTCTTCAAAATGAATTCTTCACCAAACCACTTGTGTTGGTACTCCTCAACAAAATGGTATTGTTGAAAGAAAATACAAGCATTTGATGGAAACTTGTAGAGCCCTTCTTTTCCATTCTAAAGTACCTATTTGTTATTGGGGTGAATGTCTTCTTACTGCCACTTTCCTCATTAATTGATTTCCAACTAAACTTCTTCACTATAAATCTCCTTATGAAGTACTTTTTCACAAAGCTCCTGATTACACTTTTCTTAGGAGTTTTGGTTGTCTATGTTTTGCCTCCACTTTGCCTCATATTAGAGGCAAACTTGATCCCAGGGCAATTACTTGTGTTTTTCTTAGATATCCTACTGGCAAGAAAGGATACAAGTTATTAAACCTACAGACTGGAGAAATTTTCAATTCCAGAAATGTTATTTTTCATGAGTCAGTTTTTCCTTTTACAAACTTTCACACTAGCTTCTCTTCTTTGTTTCCTCCCTCTTCTAACACTGATTTCTCTATATATGCTGATTCCTCACCTGCTGCTACTCCTTCTTCTCTATTCCTCCTGTTTCATCCCCTGCTCTATCCCCTTTAACTGAACAACCTTCTGCTCCTATTTCACATACTGCTTCCCTTCCTTCACATCACCATAGTCCTGTTTCTAGCCCATTATCCACACCATCTTTCTCTCCTTCTGATTCTTCTACTGCTTCTACCACTTCACCTTTCACATCTGCCTCTTCTACTAATCCTAATCCTAATCCTGTCTATTCACCTAATTCCAGTGTTACTCATGATGTCTTGCGCAGGTCTTTAAGAGAGCACAATGCACCTGCCTATTTGTCTGACTATATTTGTGGAGCAGTCCATTTAACTGATGTTTCTACATCTTGTTTCCTCTTACCAGTATCCCCTTTCTATTATTTCTGCTAACCTACTCTCAACTCCTAACCAAAACCTCTTGAATTCCCTACCTCACATACATAAGCCTTCTAGTTATTCTCAGGCAATATTTGACCCTGGTTGGCAAGAAGCAATGGCCAAAGAGCTTGATGCCTTGAAGGATAATGATAAATTGGGAAGTTGTTCCACTATCAGTTGGAAGGAAAGCACTACCCTGTAAGTGGGTCTACAAGGTCAAACTAAAATTTGATGGTAGTGTGGAAAGACTCAAGGCTCGTTTAGTTATTCGAGGAGACACTCAAAGAGAAGGGATTGATTTTACAGAGACTTTCTCTCCTATGGTCAAAATGACCACAATTCGGTGTATTCTTGCTATTGCAGTCAAGAAAAATTGGGGTCTTTATCAATTGGATATGAACGCCGCTTTTCTACATGGGGATCTACACGAAGAGGTTTATATGAAATTTTCAACTGGCCTAGACCCTCCTGCTCCTAATTTGGTTTTTCGTCTCAAGATATCTCTTTATGGGCTTCGTCAAGCTTCTAGACAATGGTATTCTCGCTTGACTACTGCCCTTAATTTCAAAGGTTTTACTCATTCCTTTAACGACTACTCTCTTTTTTACAAGAAGAATATTAATTATGTCTCTTTGGTGGCTGTCTATGTGGATGATATCTTACTCACAAGCAACAATATTAAGGAGCTCAATGATTTAAAATATTTTCTAGATCAGGAGTTTAAGATAAAGGATTTGGGCAACTTATCTTATTTTTTGGGAATGGAAGTCCTTCATGAGCCCTCTGGTCTGATTCTCTATCAACGCAAGTTCACCCTGGAACTCCTTACTGAATTTGATTGTCTTGGTTTATCTCCTACTTCTTCTCATTTGGATCCTTCTTCAAAACTCCATGCAGGGGTTGGTGCTCCTCTTTCTGACCCTTTGCTCTATCGTCAACTATTGGGGAAACTCAATTTTTTGACTCATGCTCGTCCTGATATCTCTTTTGCCGTTCAACATCTTAGTCAATTCATGCAGGATCCTCGTGAGCCTCATTTTTCTGTTGCTCATCACTGTCTTTGTTACCTCCTTTGTGATCCTGGTTTGGGCCTTTTTATGTTTGGTGATCCTTCTCTTGATTTGATTGCCTTCTGCGGCTCCGATTGGGGTTCTTGCCCTGATAGTCATCGTTCGGTTAGTGGATTTTTCATCAGTTTGGGGGGTTATCCTGTTTCTTGGAAATCCAAGAAACAACCTTCCGTCTCTTGTCTTCTGTTGAGGCTGAGTACCGGTCAATGAGGCGTGTTGTTGCAGAGTTAACCTGGCTCGTTCGTCTTCTCGATGACCTTTCTATCGTCCATTCTTTACCAGTCCCTCTTCACTCGGACAGTCAGGATGCTATCCACATCGCTAAAACCCCTGTCTTTCACGAGCGTACCAAATATGTGGAACTTGACTGCCATTTCATCCGGCAACAGTTCCAAGTTGGTCTCATCTCTCTTTCTTTCCTTCCTTCTCAGCACCTGTTCGCTCATCTTTTCACCAAGCCCCTTTCTGGGCCTCTTCATCGTGGTTTGCTAGACAAGTTGGGTGTTCTTTCCTCCCCCTCCAACTTGGGGGGAGGGGGTGTTGCCGGTGACATTTCACTGGACCCAAGTTGAGTCTCAGAATGAAGAAGAAGAAGAGGTGCTAGGGTTTTCTTCTCAATGCCTATGCTTAAATGAGGTAAATGGCCACTAAATGGAGATATACGGATAAAGGAAGCTATTGGGCATCAAGGAAGTTATTGAGCCTATTGGGCCACCACCAGATCTTTCTTATTTTCCCATATGGTTTGTACATATAGTTTTAAGAAGTTTCTAGAATAGCCTAATTATGTATTCTTTTTTTCATTTACACGTGGATAACAAAAGGTAGTTAGTAGATAGTGAAATGTATATATTTCTTTTCTACTTGTAACAAAGACAGATTTCAACAGAATACAATTTCAATTTGGCTTCTACAAAATTCCTCTCTCTAAAATGAACATTTTTTGGTTCTCCTTTTCATTTTTTCCCTTTTATCAGAAGTAAATTCTTTATATTACTAACTAGCAAAATTTTCATTCTTGTTTTGGAACTTTTTACCCATTTCAGAGAAAGAGGATGATCCATAGGAAAAAGGATGTTGTTTCTTCTTCTCGTTGCAATTAAGCTTCTTTTTTCTTATCTAAATGTTAGAAATTTAATGGAAGATGGTGACTTTTTATGAATGAATCATTTTATGTGAATGGTGGTCAAATCTGTTGTGGTGGTGCTGACGGTTTTGGTAGTGGTGTTGTGGCAGGTTTGATGGTGGGAAACGGAGAAGAAAAAATTGGGTGACAAAATAATCTTTTTGAAATCTGACATGGTGTTGACGTGTCAGTGACATCGCAATGATGTGGAAGCAAGTGTAGAACACTTCCCACCATGTGACTGGTTATATGTGTGTTAGGGAAGTGTTTGTTATTGCACTAAAAATAAGGATAGGATGGTATTAAAACACACGTAAAAGTTAAGTGTGAAACTAATTTTTTCGGACAAGTACAGGATGCATTTTATGTATTTTTTCAAAGAAAAAATAGTGACTTTTGAGTAATGTATACAAAGTTGGATGACAATACATGAAATTTACTGTAATGACCCAACCGGTCATTTTAACTTTTAAAACCCCGTTCCCTAAAATAAAACTTTTCGTAGGTGCTTATAATAATTTATGACTTGCGGGGATGGTTAGTTCGGGATTTGGAAGTGTTTGAGGTGAAACCGGAATACTTGGTTCCTTAAGTTGGCCTTAAA